TCACTTCGATATCCGAAGCCCGACTAGAGCCGGCCCCCAAACCCCGGGCATTCCGGCGACGCTCTCTTTCATACAAGGAAGCACTCCGTCTCGACATTTCTACAAATAAAGATAAAGGTAAAAAGCGACGTTCATGCAAAGTGAAGAGAGGATTTCGACAGAGACCTGGAGGGTTACGTGGGAGAGCCAAGCCAAAATCTACTAAGTTTTTCTCCGTAACCAAATATGGGCCCCAACGCTTGATATCCGGTAACTGGATAACGGTATGATAGAAAGTGGTTGCCTCGGCGGTAAGCTCACAATTGCGGGAAACTGCCAACAAGAAAAGGAATATCAGAATCGACATTTACGAAAGTCCTGGTGGAGCTCAGAAGCTACTTACCCAACTCCCTACACCCGGTCAGGACGGGAAAATACAACCCTCTCTCGTCACGGGCTAGCCAGTCACTGCCAACAAAGAACCATTCGTTCTTCCAATGCTTCACTGAGGAAGGACCCATAACAAGAACTTGGTTCCGGGAGCTAACATAAAAATGAAAGTTATCCTCGGGGCTATGTTTGAGATAATAAAGCGACATAAAATCCGCAGCGGTTAGAGGCTGCTCTCCCCCGAGGTAGGACCACAAAATAAAGCAACTGATCAAAGTAGACCACCCATTCGGGATTTGGGAAGGAGCTACTTGATTAAAAGCTAAAAAGTTTTGAAGGAAAATAGGCAACGGTAGGCGAACTCCAAATTGGAACATCGCGGCATAAAATACTACTTCACCGGGATAAGAGCCATCAATACTCTCTCCCAGATTCGGAAGACGAAGGCTAATCGAATCCGGGATACGGTATTTCGAACGCAAGCGACGCAGGTCCCTCGCTGTAAGAGTGGAGTTATCCATCCAAAACGGACGGAGATTCTGACGAAGGATGCGACGATGACCCATCATCCGAGGAGGTCCATTCGAAATTAAGGCCAGCCATACAAAAAAGAAAACACGACAAAAAGCAGGGCAAAGAGATGAATACCTTGTAAGGAGATTGACAAGAAATGAGGAGGATGAAGGGGTTTAAATAGCCCTTAACTCATAGCACGATTCTCGGTCCAGAGGTCTTTACCCAAGCGTGCTCGGTGCGGTACCCAACACTCTTGTGACTATTCGACAGAGTACACAACACTCTTGTGACTACTCGGCTCGGTACCCAACACTCTTGTGACTTCTCGGCTCGGTACCCAACACTCTTGTGACTTCTCGGCTCGGTACCCAACACCTCGTGATCTCAAAGTCATGGGTCTACTGTAGATGTGACAATTGCATG